TATATACATACATAACATTGTACTGAACATGAATCTACTGGCATAAAAATTATGTCATTAAATGTGTCTTTAAAAAAATTTTCAATTTTAACTCAGATTTTGTATGTGTGAAGGGTTTGGGAAGAGAGTTCCAAACTAATGGAACAAGGTGGGCAAACGATATTTCAGCTTTTTTTTTTACCTCCTTTTCTAGGAACTCTTAAAAGATACTGATCTCCTGATCTTAGTGATCTAGATTAGGACATAAATCTGGATTAGATCACTAAGATATGGGGGAGCTTTGCTATTTACACATTTATGACATAATATTGCAATTTTGTAATATGGCATTCTAGCTGACATGTGGATCCAATGCAACGTTCTTAACATGGGAGTAATGTTACCCGTCTTCTTTCTGTGTGCATGTGTGTGTATGTGTGAAATAGAGACAGAGGGTGTGTGTGCGTGTGTATGTGTGTGTGTGTGTATGTGTGTGTATATGTGTGTATGTGTATGTGTATGTGCGTATGCGTGTGTGCGTGTGTGTAGCTATGTAAGCGTTTCCACTAGTATGCGAGTGCGCAAATTTAGAACAGTATGCCCAGCATGCTTCGTGCCTTTGGATGGGACATGTTATCTTTTAACCAAAAAAAGAGTATTTTTTAGGTCCCTAGAAAGAGGTTATAATACTACCAAAGACTATGGCAGTGACGTCACCCTGTAAACGGACAGGGGCCTCGTGTGCTCACTCTGGGACATTGAGCGTCCATGCAGTAAGGGCAAGAAGCAGCGTCGCACAAGGCGCTCCCGCCTTTAGGCTCACCGTTTACAGGTCCTACTGGGGTGTGAAACGTGGAGTGTCCATCTTTTTTAATTTGCTCTTTCAAAAAGTATTATTTTCCTTTTGATTTTAATCACAAAGAAAGCCTGCACACACACTACCGCACAAACTAATTGACTGTAGCAAAGAGAAATAACAAAAAAACGAAAGATAATCTGTCTCTTACAAACAAAGGAAGAAATGTGATTTGGTGAATGTATGTTGTTTTTCATGTTCTACTACTGTCCATTTCATTGTTTAATTCCTTTTCCCGTATTTCTACCTGTAATGGGCCTATGTTCACCCGTCATATATTAAGACAAACGACCAGCGCCTTTTGTATTAGGCCTTGTTCTTGAGCCTCTCGTTGTAATATCGGCTAGTGTATTTCGACTTCCGTGTGCTTATTTAACTCACCATGTGCTAACGTCATAGACCATGTTGATGAAAGTCTCCGAAAAGGTTTTAATATCTGTTCATCGGCCGTAAATGCAGGGGCATAAGAAAGTGGAAATTACTCTCCCTTTCACCCCGGTTTGTACACTCATGTACGACACTAGAATTAACAATCCCTGACGCATCAAGTACTGACGTATTTGTATAATAATCACAACACTCTTGCACCGACTGGCAGTGGCGTCATTCGGGTTGTACTAAATGAGGTCGGTCATAATAATATTATGAAGGGTGCAAAACGACGAAAATGACAGTCAAACACTATACAAAAGGATAGAGTGAAAATAATATACTATTGGCTAAATGTATTGTAAACATGTTAGTGGCAATACCATGTTTAAACCCCAGGTAAATAGAATTAGCAATGCGTCTTCATACCTGGATATGACTTGGGCATTTTGGTTTTCCTGTTGAGCAAATTTGCCTGTGACTTTTTGATTGAACAATAAATCATTGGAAATGTTTCTTTTGCTTTCCATTCACAACAGAATACTAAAACTGTTGCGGTTGATATGGCGGTCTCAGTATTTTATCCTGGTCTTATATATAGGGGATTAAGAACTAAAAAACTAAGGCCAGTTTCCAATAATTAGGCCTTTTCCGCACGATTCACGGCTATAATAAAGGGAAAAAAGGCACACTCTAATTTAAAACAACCTCAGCTCACTGGTCCTATTCAATGGTACTTATTTCATTGTTTGCCCGATCTCCACACACAGAGAGAGCAAGTGTACCTCGCACTCAAGACATCACTGTCTGTTAACCCGCTCAGCTCTACATTCAAGTGTACGATCCAGTGTACACACTTTAGCGCTATAATGGCACACACACCATATAGTCCCCGTGAAACGTTCACAGAATTACGACTTAATTTAAGAAAACACCTAAAGCCGAGGAAAAAATGGGAAGAGTGTACGCCTCAGTGTACGCCTTGGGCTATAGCCACGACAGTATTCAAATTTTAGTGTCAAGCGATGCCGAAGGTTCTGTCACAGACTACTTGGTGCGTGGCTGAAGTCTCGCCTGCTCGTTGCATCAACGGTCTATTTGTTTCTACCTTGACCCACACCAGGTTAATACCTCAGGTATATGCAGTCTTTGGGAACATAACTGCGTAGCTTCAGCCAAAAAAAAAAAATGTTATTTCATTTTCTTCGACAGAAGGAGCGCCTGATCATACAGAGCTATAGTCGTAGTAAATGATGGTACTCGTATACACCCATCCAAACAGATCACGTTTTGTGT